CTGGGGACGCAAATGTACCTGCTAAACAAGTGGTACATGCAGGCGTCTACCGGTGGAGACTTCTGCGTTGGTGTCAGAATTAGAGACGAACATTGGTTCCGTGGCGATGATGTTATGTATGTTGACTTTGCAAAATTTCATCAACTATGCCACCTGACCTCTCTGGACAAAGTTATCATTAGCTGCTATTGTCTGTAAGTAATAATTCTTTCGATCTATTATTAAACTCATCATATGTGTGTATATGCATATAAATTATCCTAACAAGTACTATATATATGCAGATTTACAATGACAGAGCTCAGAAAGGAAGGCTGCAATGAAATTGGTTTTGTTGATCCCCATATAGTATTTAAAGACCCAGTTACTCCAAAGCCTAATTGAAAGTCTGAGTCAGAGAGTAACTTCATGAACTTCTTAGTGAACCAACGCCACAAGAAGGATATACTCTTTCCCTACAACTTCAAGTGAGTGTTAATAATGTCGATCATCCTTAATGGCTCATATGTTGATTCTAGTTAATGAGTGTTACGCGTTATATCCTATAAACACATGCAACAATCACTGGATATTGATGGACATCGATCTGGTGAAAAGTCACTTGATAATCTATGACTCGATGAGAAAATCACAACAAGACTACCAAGATATGATAGATATTATCTAGAGGTAATTTCGGTATCTCTAGCAACTATATATACACACAAACATGATGATTAACTATATCTGATGACGTGGCAAATTTTTTATTGGGCAGTGTTTGGAAAACATTTATTGAGAAGCAATACATGGGAAAATGCAAAGCGCCACTGAATGTAATCCCTTTGAAAGTAAGTCCCCTAAATCGCATCATCTTTATTAATTAAACATATAACTTTCACCGGATCACCAGATTGGATGACAAATCTTTTTCTCGTAAAGTGGTGTCTAAGACAGGAACAGAGGAACAACTACTGTGGTTACTATGTTTGCAAGTTTATCAAGATGGTCTCCCAAAGAACTTCTACAGAGAGACTCAAAGTACGTTAAAAATACATTATGTATTCATTTAATTATTATTATTGATTGTGTTACTATGTCTTTATATATATATATATATATATATACATATATTAATTTATTTTTCTTTAATTCAAACCTGTAGGCTCGATGGTTGGAGGAAAAGGTCATACGGCAAGACCAAATCAAAGCAATTTAAGAGTCTATAGCCGGATTTTTTAATGAGCAGGTCATCGATTCCAATGGCGAGTTCTACTTCGACCCAACACTGCTATGGAAGCCAAGCTAGAGGATGAGAGGAAACTTGTTATATCACAACAACCGTAATGCAATCTTTTGTAATATATACACATGAAATAATATAATGTAAAATACACATATGCATGCATGCATGTATATATATATATATATTTCTATACTTGAATTGTGTGATTTAATACGTTCATTGTGCTTGAACCGAAACATACTATACGCGCGTATAAATGTATAATTAGCAGCGTACAATACGACTTTGAAAACCTATTTTGAAAAGAAAACAAAAAAAATGAAAAGAAAAGAAAAATGAAAAAAAAAACTTTAGTCCCGGTTCATATTACCAACCGGGACTAAAGATACCGGCCATCGTGGCATGTCAGAAGACACCTTTAGTCCCGGTTGGTGTTACCCACCGGGACTAAAGGTTCCTGACCCGGGACTAAAGGACCCCCTTTAGTTTCGGATGCTTGCTCCCGGGTGGGGAACCGGGACTAGAGGGGGTTCCCCACCGAGTAAAGCTCACACACACACACATATATATATATATATATATATATATATATATATATATATATATATATATATATATATATATATATATATATATATAACCCGTGCTCATACGAGTTAGAATAATCTTGTCTAGCGTGATACAGAGTCCGATTCCAAAAACATATTGGATCGTGTATGTGAAATGAACTCATAAGCAGCCAAATAAATTTTCTCTCATCCTAAATAACTTGAATAGGAGTCTTAAGCCGAATAGAAAAAGATAATAAGAGTTTAAATCTGAATTTGTAGGTTTTTCTCTGTGCTATTTTAAACGTTTCCTTTGCGTTTTAGTTTTAATTTCGATTGTCCGTGTTCCTTTATCTTTTAGTTTTTTGTTTATGTTTTCTTTTCCGTTTGTATCTTTTTTCTTTCTTTTTCTTCTGCATGTTTTGTCAGTCCCAAATCAAAGGAGTCTGTGGTGGAGTCCATCACTATTACTTTTTTATCCCTATTATTTTCCCTATATGCTATTCCTTTTCTTCCGATATTTCCCCCCTACGCTGTTCCTTTTTTTTCGATTTTTTTCCTCCGTGTCTGAAAATTGGAGTCCATCACCATCACGGAGTCAATGACTATTTCCTTTTTTTCTATGCGATTGTTACTTTTTCCCTTTAGCACAGCATGCCCGGCTTCTTTTTTTTTTCTGTAGATTTCTTTTTTTTCTATACGATTGTCACGGAGTCCAGTTTCATAACGTGCCCTTTTTCCCCTTTTCCATTTTGTCGTGTCCTATCTTTTGTTTTTTTTTCCGATTGTATTTCTTCTTCTATTTTTTCTCATAAATATATGAAACAAATAATAACTGCAACCGACTCTTTCCATTGGTAATTTGTTGATGTAGTTACGATTAAAAATAAAACTTATTTTTATTAAAAATAGATCAATCAATGCTCTAACTAATCAAACAATTGGATAGTATTAAAAATTGAAGTTATGATATATATCTATGATGAGTAAATATTTTTGTCTTTACAACAGAAGTAAAAATATACTAACGTTGTATTTTAATTCGATATATAATATTGATAACATTAGCTTATATTATGGATATCACGGTGATCATAGATAAATATAGCTTTTAAATTTTATATAAAAAATAATAAAATATAAATAGATATGTACTATTATCATCATTGTTTTTTCATAAATCCGTAGCAAACGCACTGACATTTGTTGTAATATTAAAAAGATCAAATTTTTCTCCACCTAATAATTTTTATCCAGCGCAGTCTTCCCAACATCACAACCACTTCTCACCTCTTGGTTGTCACTCGCTAGAGGCTCACGCTACAGGCTCACTTCTGCGCCCCCTCGTCAGAATTGTCCACACCCCCTCGTCAGAACGGCCCAACCACTAGCTTACCTCCTGGTCGTCACTCGCTACAGGCTCACTTCCGCATAGCTATATATGGGTGTCCATGCTAAAAACATAGCTCCAGCAGGGTCCCTACTTGAGCACCCAAATCCTCCCTCCAACACCCATTCCTGGGGGCTCTAGGCCAAGCCCCCAAAAGGATGATTTACGTTCGTTTCTTCCCCACGCGCTCGCCTTCTCCCCACTTGCGCCGCCATTTCCCCCGCGCGCGACTCCCCCAGCCCGTGCGCGACTTCTTCCTGGCGGTGAACACGACTACACTGGGGCGCACGCACGAAGCAGGAGGTCTGGGGCGGGGCTTCACCAACGCGACTCATGCCGCCCACACTTCGGGGCAGGGCATCACCCACACGGCTCGCGCTGCCCACGCACGTGGACTCCGGCAGCGCACCTCACTACGACCGCGATTCACACATCCCTCCTCATAATTCAAGTCTGGCCCGTGTTGGTTGTGCACATGAACGATAAATTGGAGAAAATAGAATGGTGAGGAGGTTGCGCACATGAAGGATAAATTGGAGGAAATAGAATAGTGAGGAGATTGTGCACACGAAGAATAATTTGGTGGAAATAGAACAGTGAGGAGATTGTGCACACGAAGAATAAATGGGTGGAAATAAAATAGTGAGGTGGTGCACATGAAAGATAAATTGGATGAAATAGAACATAAGAAAAAAGCGTACAGAGAGGAATCAAACTCACAACCTGTGGGTTAAGAAATCTTTTTCCACCACACCTTTGTGTCAACTATGAAATTTTGACTCTATTAACCATACTATACCAGCGGTTGGATCTGGTGGAATAAACAAACCGTTAATCGAGGGCTTCGCTGGTCTGTTCCTAACGACTATGTGCACCCATTGGCCTCCTCTCCCGCAGTCTTTGTGCCCGATCTCCGAAAAAAATGGCACCTTAGCTATCTCCTAGCACTATTTGATCCAAGAATGGCCGCAGACAAGTCCCCTGACCCTAGCCTTGGCAAGTGAGGGGGGCCTTGCAGCCACCAAATGGGATCTGCGTCCCATTTACCTCGGTTGCACCTTCGATGCGCCTCCGGCTCCTCCAAAGCCAACTACACTACGTGCTCAAGGCCACCATCTACGAGTGCATACTGCGAGCCAGTCAAAATTAAGTTAGAAACTGATAACGACTCCATTGCAACGCACAAGCACTTTTGCTAGTAATATTAAAAGGAGAGAATATTCTTCCTCTTCATTTTCGTTTGTCAGCCCATCCCAATGCACCTCACTGTATTCTATCCGCATCTCACGCTCTTGCGGTCCACACGTTTCCAATTCAAATGCCAGTATAAACCAATTTCAACACGAGACCATGTTTCAAACAACGCAAGTCTATCCATGGTACGCGGTCTGATTTTAAGACGTATTAGAACTAACAAAGATGACACGGTCATTTTCGAGCCATAAGTCGTCTAGTTGACCATACAACAAGTCGTACGTTACATTGCAAGTTGACAACGAGCATGTTTGCTAGTAAACAAAACATACATTTAGTTTATTAACTTCCATGCATGGTAGTTAGTGCTAAGAAGAAAGGAAAAGAAAAGAAAAGCAAAAAAAAAAAAAAATCAGATTCAAGGAAAAAGATTTGCGCCCGGGTATATTAAGTGGACAAGAAAGATTCAAACGTACAGTCCGTACTCTTGGAACACATAGACAATCTTGGTGTACCAGTCCTGGCATTACTACCGATGATCTGATCTGACTGACGACAGAGTTTACCGATGGAGCTGGGCCGGCCGGCGGCTGGCAGGCCGGGCGGATCGTCGCGCGATGAGCCAGCTGGCTAGCTAGCTAGCTTAGCGGCCCATCCCCTGCGCCGCCGGCGGGTACATGCCGGCGGCGGTGTTGGCCGCCGCCTTCTGTGCTTTGATGTCCCAGCCGAGCTCGGGGTCGAAGCCGCGGGCCTTGAGCTCCCTGTACTGCTGGCAGAGCGCGCATGGCTCGCAGCAGAAGTGGACGCAGCAGTCGCAGCAGCCGACGTCGGGGAGGCCGAGCTGCGCGCGCATCTTGGAGCGGTACGTGCAGGAGTAGATCCACTGGCAGCCCGTGAAGCAGGCCAGCACCGTGTAGATGGCCCCCGCGGCTCCGCACGACGTCGCGCCGCGGTCCACGATCTCCGCGATCCGCCCGAACGTGATGCACGGGCACCAGCACGTCAGGCAGCCTGTTCGTTTGCGTTGCGTGCATGCAGACAACGGTTAGCTAGGTAAGCAGGAGGAGAAGAGAAGAGAAGAGAGAAGCTAGCTGCTAGGTGCTTGCTAGCTAGGGCCGTGGTGGATGGGACGGGGTGCTTACAGAGACCGCAGTCGTCGAAGCAGGCGCAGAGGCCGGAGGACCACTGGCTGGCCGCGACCGTGCCAGCGCCGGCGCCGTGGATGGGGATGCCGGTCACCGGCGGCGCCATCCCGGCCGCCGGCTCGCTAGCGGCGGCGGCGGTGGGCTTGGCCGGATACATTCTTGCTTGCTTCTTCCCTTCTTCACTTGTTGCACAGCAGTGCGCCTCGGCTCTCGATCGGTCGTCCGTGCCAATGCAAGCTGCTGCCGGTTGCGTCTGCCTCGGCGTTCGCTTAATTTGCCGTGAATGAGCGAGCCGAGAGGCCAGTGGGTGCTCTTTACATAGGAGCAACTGGCATGGTGGATCATGACTCGGTCCAATCCTAAGGCGGTCGCGACACGCGACGACCTGGCCCCGCCGGCCCGTCTGGTTTCGTTGACCGACTTGGCAGCGGCGGCGACAGCCACCGGGTGCGCGGGCGGGGCCTTTCCGCAAGGGCATGCATGTGCTCGCCGGCGGTTGCATTGCATTGGTGACTGGTGTGGAGCCCGGCCAACCAACGTTTGGCCTCCTCCCCTCCCACCACTTGAGTCTTGAGCTCTACTTGTCTCTTCCATTGGTCCGGGTCAGTAGTCAATGGCTCTACTCTGCATATATTTTCTCTATTTTATTATTATTCATATATAACCAAACACACACGCTTATTATAGTCCTTTTCCCCAATTAATAATGCCAGCGAGATGATGGCAACTAATTCGGGCACCAGTTTCTCATATTTTTTGAGTTTTGACGAGTCTTCTGAGAACCTCTCTAAGAAAAAGATATATTTGTGAGTTGTGACCCTCGTAAAGGACAAGATGTGAGCATACCACAGCTTACTGCTCGAGCTCATGGAACCATTGACTTGCATCTAATCAGTGGACACAATGCAATTTGAGTTATACTAATACACCGCAAGTTAATTAGGTGGTACTACTGAAATTTTCTTTGATTCCTATTAAATTTTAAAACCCACTATTCTCACCGGTGGTATTTCTAATTTACAGTCCAGAAATTCACAATAAATCGTGTCAATAAAATGGTTTTCTTTCTTTGTTTCATGTGAAGCCCCGAGCAAATAGTCTTGGTATATTCACTCGACCTTGGTTCACTGCTGGAACCTGGAACCTTCTTGTGCAAGGATGATCATCAGGTAATGTAAACTGATGCATGTATCTCTTGCTATGGCAAGGAAAAACTCCCAATAGATTGAACGTTTTTTTTTATCAAATACATTATCATGTGCCTGTATTATAGAGGGGTAGAGATGGTCATGGACCGCACAACCTGCTCATGGACCGCAAGATCATGGCGTTCAAGAAAATTTTGGCGTGTTATAGAGGGGTACAGATTGGGTAAACAAAGATGACATCGAGCAAGTGAATTGCTCTATAAGTATGTTTAAGACTGTCTTTTGCATTGATTGATATATACCAAATAAGACTTGAATCTTAATGAATCTGATTGTTCATTTTATTTTTTTTATAAATTCTATCTTGTTTTGTAATCGTCCAGATGATAGTGGGGTTCAGATGGGAGGTTCTTTGTGGTGGTACCTTCTAATCTGGTAGTAAAATGAGATTATTTGTACTGTTCATCGAGAAATGTGTTGACAATTCAAGATGAGTATGGAGGATTTGTAGTACATTGTATTTCCTCACTCAAGTGGTTGTGCTGGGAGTCACTGGTGGTATTTCTAATTTACAGTCCGAAAATTCACAATAAATCGTGTCAATAAAATGGTTTTCCTTCTGTTTCATGTGAAGCCCCGAGCAAATAGTCTTGGTATATTCACTTGACCTTGGTTCACTGCTGGAACCTGGAACCTTCTTGTGCAAGGATGATCATCTGGTAATGTAAACTGTTGCATGTATCTCTTGCTATGGCAGGGAAAAACTCCCAGTAGATTTTGCTTGCTGTGGTGAAAGGCTTTTTTTTTCCTTGTGAGATTGTGAGAGAATCCTAGTGCATTGTTTGAGTGTTTGCATCTAGAGGCATTTGGTGTTCGTGTTTCGCTGCGGGATTCGTTTGTTACTCTTGGTGGTTGCCGCCACCTAGACGGCTTGGAGCAGTAAGGATCGTCGAGCGGAGGTTAGTGATCGTCTCCGGCTCCGATCGTGTTGATTGTGAGGGGTTCTTGATCTTTTCCCGTCGCAGAGCCAAAAGGTACTCTAGTGAATTGCTCGTGGCTTGTGTGATCCTCATCTTGTGTTGGTTGTGCGGCACCCTATTGAGGGTTTGGCGCGTGATGCCAATTAGTGCGTGAATCTCCAAGTGAGTGAATCGCCACACCGAGGACTAGCTTGCCGGCAAGCAAGTGAACCTCGGTAAAAAATCATTGTGTTATCATTTGATTCTGAGGTGATTGGTCTTCATTGGTATTCATTCTTGTGATTGATTGGTTCATTCCTCGACTCGGCGGTATAACCATCTTGCTCTCTTTTTTTACATTACCGCAAACTAGTTGTCAAGCTCTTTAGTGTAGCTAGTAATGAGAGCTTGTTAGTTTGGTTAGTGTGGCTCTTTAGTTAGTCTTTGAGAGCACACTAACTTAGTGTAATGACATAGCCATTGTGTGGATAGAGACTATAGAAATTAGAATTGTGGTAGGTGGCTTATATTTTTAGTAGGCTAATGCAACACACGATTCGCCTCGTATTTGTCTAACCGATTTGCAAAGTGTTGTTATAGAAATTTTTAATAGGCTATTCACTCTCCCTCTAACCTTTAGGACCCTTTCACCATGGTACGCAGTTTGATTTTAAGACGTATTAGAACTAACAAAGAGACACGGTCATTGCATAAATTTTCGAGCCTTAAGTCGTCTAGTTGACAATACAACAAGTTGTACGTTACATTGCAAGTTGACAACGAGCATGTTTGCTAGTAAACAAAACATACATTTAGTTTATTAACTTCCATGCATGGTAGTTAGTGCTAAGAAGAAAGGAAAAGAAAAGAAAAGCAAAAAACAATCAGATTCAAGGAAAAAGATTTCCGCCCGGATATATTAAGTGGACAAGAAAGATTCAAACGTACAGTCCGTACTCTTGGAACACAGAGACAATCTTGGTGTACCAGTCCTGGCATTACTACCGATGATCTGATCTGACTGACGACAGAGTTTACCGATGGAGCTGGGCCGGGCGGCGGCTGGCAGGCCGGGCGGATCGTCGCGCGATGAGGCAGCTGACTAGCTAGCTAGCTTAGCGGCCCATCCCCTGCGCCGCCGGCGGGTACATGCCGGCGGCGTTGTTGGCCGCCGCCTTCTGTGCGTTGATGTCCCAGCCGAGCTCGGGGTCGAAGCCGCGGGCCTTGAGCTCCCTGTACTGCTGGCAGAGCGCGCATGGCTCGCAGCAGAAGTGGACGCAGCAGTCGCAGCAGCCGACGTCGGGGAGGCCGAGCTGCGCGCGCATCTTGGAGCGGTACGTGCAGGAGTAGATCCACTGGCAGCCCGTGAAGCAGGCCAGCACCGTGTAGATGGCCCCCGCGGCGCCGCACGACGTCGCGCCGCGGTCCACGATCTCCGCGATCCGCCCGAACGTGATGCACGGGCACCAGCACGTCAGGCAGCCTGTTCGTTTGCGTTGCGTGCATGCAGACAACGGTTAGCTAGGTAAGCGAGAAGAGAAGAGAAGAGAGAAGCTAGCTGCTAGGTGCTTGCTAGCTAGGGCCGTGGTGGATGGGACGGGGTGCTTACAGAGGCCGCAGTCGTCGAAGCAGGCGCAGAGGCCGGAGGACCACTGGCTGGCCGCGACCGTGCCGGCGCCGGCGCCGTGGATGGGGCTGCTGATGGGGAAGCCGGTCACCGGCGGCGCCATCCCGGCCGCCGGCTGGCTAGCGGCGGCGGCGGTGGGCTTGGCCGGATACATTCTTGCTTGCTTCTTCCCTTCTTCACTTGTTGCACAGCAGTGCGCCTCGGCTCTCGATCGGTCGTCCGTGCCAATGCAAGCTGCTGCCGGTTGCGTCTGCCTCAGCGTTCGCTTAATTTGCCGTGAATGAGCGAGCCGAGAGGCCAGTGGGTGCTCTTTACATAGGAGCAACTGGCATGGTGGATCATGACTCGGTCCAATCCTAAGGCGGTCGCGACACGCGACGACCTGGCCCCGCCGGCCCGTCTGGTTTCGTTGACCGACTTGGCAGCGGCGGCGACAGCGACGGCGTGCGCGGGCGGGGCCTTTCCGTTCGAGGTCGTTCGACGCGTTGGGAGACTCTTCTGCATTCTGCAGCGCAAGGGCATGCATGTGCTCGCCGGCGGTTGCATTGCATTGGTGACTGGTGTGGAGCCCGGCCAACCAACGTTTGGCCTCCTCCCCTCCCACCACTTGAGTCTTGAGTTCTACTTGTCTCTTCCATTGGTCCGGGTCAGTAGTCAATGGCTCTACTCTGCATATATTTTCTCTATTTTATTATTATTCATATATAACCAAACACACACGCTTATTATAGTCCTTTTCCCCAATTAATAATGCCAGCGAGATGATGGCAACTAATTCGGGCACCAGTTTCTCATATGTTTTGAGTTTTGACGAGTCTTCTGAGAACCTCTCTAAGAAAAAGATATATTTGTGAGTTGTGACCCTCGTAAAGGACAAGATGTGAGCATACCACAGCTTACTGCTCGAGCTCATGGAACCATTGACTTGCATCTAATCAGTGGACACAATGCAATTTGAGTTATACTAATACACCGCAAGTTAATTAGGTGGTACCACTGAAATTTTCTTTGATTCCTATTAAATTTTAAAACCCACTATTCTCACTGGTGGTATTTCTAATTTACAGTCCAAAAATTCACAATAAATCGTGTCAATAAAATGTTTTTCTTTCTTTGTATCATGTGAAGCCCCGAGCAAATAGTCTTGGTATATTCACTCCACCTTGGTTCACTGCTGGAACCTGGAACCTTCTTGTGCAAGGATGATCATCAGGTAATGTAAACTGATGCATGTATCTCTTGCTATGGCAAGGAAAAACTCCCAATAGATTGAACATTTTTTGATCAAATAGATTATCATGCGCCTGTATTATAGAGGGGTAGAGATGGTCATGGACCGCACGACCTGCTCATGGACCGCAAGATCACGGCGTTCAAGAAAATTTTTGCGTGTTATAGAGGGGTACAGATTGGGTAAACAAAGATGACATGGATTACCTTTTGCGGGACGGCGAGCAAGTGAATTGCTCCGTAAGTATGTTTAAGACTTCCTTTTGCATTGTTTGATATATACCAAATAAGACGTGAATTTTAATGAATCTGATTGTTCATTTTATTTTTTTTTATAAATTCTATCTTGTTTTGTAATCGTCCAGATGATAGTGGGGTTCAGATGGGAGGTTCTTCGTGCTGGTACCTTCTAATCTTGTAGTAAAATGAGATTATTTGTACTGTTCATCAAGAAATGTATTGACAATTCAAGATGAGTATGGAGGATTTGTAGTACATTGTATTTCCTCACTCAAGTGGTTGTGCTGGGAGTCACTGGTGGTGTTTCTAATTTACAGTCCAGAAATTCACAAGAAATCGTGTCAATAAAATGGTTTGCTTTCTTTGTTTCATGTGAAGCCCCGTGCAAATAGTCTTGGTATATTCACTTGACCTTGGTTCACTGCTGGAACCTGGAACCTTCTTGTGCAAGGATGATCATCAGGTACTGTAAACTGATGCATCTATCTCTTGCTATGGCAAGGAAAAACTCCCAGTAGATTTGTCGGTGTTTCAGAACCGGGGGTCTTTAACCGACTAGTGAATTTGTGCTGCGTGCTCCTAATTCCGGATGGAGATGCAAAGAGACACAATGTTTATACTGGTTCGGACAATGGATACCCTACGTCCAGTCTGAGAAGATGTTCTTGTATTCCTTGCACCATGGTGCTCGTAGTAGGGGGTTACAAGCTAGGCGAGTGAGGGAGTTCGTCCCAGGTCTCTGTGAGGGGAGGTGATACGAATTACAGAATGAGGCGTGTTGTTCGTGCGAGTATTCGTGATTCTATCCGTCGTCCTAGAAACGGTCCTGGCTGCCTCCTTTTATAGCCGCAGGGAGGAAACCAGGAGTACATAAGAGAGCTACACGTGGAGCAAGGACTATTCGATGACGTATTTACTCCTGGAGCAGCATGGCGTTGTCGTGGGAGTTCCCGTAGATGTCTAATCGGTATGGTCTCCACTGCAAGTAACATGCTGCGCATTTGTTGACTTGGTGGATTGCAGAGGCTCGGCGACCATCGTAGCCGGTCGTGCCGAGGTCTATCGTGCCGAGGCCTGCCGTGTCGAGGCCTGAGAAGCGACCCAGGTGCAGATGCGGGTCTCAGCAGCCATCAGGCGGAATAGTGAGAGACGTGCGCCTACAGGATACGGTACCTGTATTGTCAGTAAGGGATAGTAGAAAAGGTGATCTGACCGTTGTCCCGTCGCTCCTGTTGCAGCGCACTGCCGATCGTGGCTTACGTAGCGGGTGCAGCTGAGCGCATTAATCGGATGCGACAGCCTGCCAGAGAGACTTTTGAGGCGGAGGCGACGAGGTTGCGGGACGAGCCCGGCCTCGGGCGAGGCGGAGCGTGGCCAATTCATCCGAGGCCCTACCGGGGGGTCCCGGGCGGCGGACGGGCGAGGCAGAGTAAGATCAGTGAATCCGAGGCCTCGTCGAGGGGGCTCGGGCGAGACGGAGCGGTCGGTCCGCTGATTCCGAGGCTACAGGAACCCGTTCTGACTCCCCACGTTGCGATGTCCTTGGTGCAGGAGTTAGGCAGCACAGTGGTCGGTAACCTCTGCTCTGTGCCATCGCAGATGGTAGGAGGTTGACGCGACTGGCGTGTAGTCGGTCACTTCGCTGTACTGTGCTATCGTGCGTCTGTCGGAGTGGTTGGGCGCTTGGATGCGACGTTCGGTCAGAGCAGTTTGGTTGAAGAGGCGGCCACGGGGCTGGTGCCAAGCCGGCCTCGCGCGAATCGGAGAATCGGCACTTCTTCTGAGGCCCCGGGCGAGGGGGCCTCGACGAGGGGGCCTCGGTGAGGCGGTCTCGGGCGAGTCAGAGAATCGTTCGCTTCCGCTGGGGCTCCATGACGGGGTCTCGGGCGAATCGGAGATTTCGGCCGAGACCTCGTTCGTTTATTCCGTTGGTTCTGTTCTTAGGGTCTAAGCAGTTTTTTCGACCTTCGCTTGGGGTACCCTATTTTCGGGTATCCGACAGTAGCCCCCGAGCCTCGGGCGGGAGTGTGGGATACTCTCCCCGAGGTTTTTTTTGAGACTTCTGTTTCTCAGTGGCTCTTGTCGGGTTCGTTTTATACTCACGATTCCGGTGGGTGCGCGCGAGCGCACCCGCTGGGTGTAGCCCCCGAGGCCCTAGAAGAGTGAGTTTACTCCTTTAGGGGCTTTTTCTTTGTTGAGTAAGGTGCTCTATCGCATTTGCTTGACCCATGAGAGCGAGCTCGGGTCGCTTGTTTGGGGTGTAGGAGGAGCACCTGAGCCTGCCGAGCCCTCGCGTGCGATCCTAGGTCGCTGGGTCTCGGCAAGGTTTGTAGGAAGAGCCCTCGAGCCTCCGCACAGAGCGAGAAGGCGGTCAGGAGTTCTCCTGGCTTTTTGTACGACCCTCGCGCATCCTTTTCGTTCGGAAGGAGGGGTTGTTTGCCGAGCCCTTCGCGTGCGATCCTAGGCCGCTGGGTCTCCGCAAGGTTTGCAGGAAGAGCCCCCGAGCCTCCGCACGGAGCGAGAGGACGGTCAGGAGTTCTCCTGGCTTTTTGTACGACCCTCACGCATCCTTTTCGTTCAGAAGGAGGGGTTGTTTGCCGAGCCCTTCGCGTGCGATCCTAGGCCGCTGGGTCTCCGCAAGGTTTGCAGGAAGAGCCCCCGAGCCTCCGCCCATAGCGAGAGGGCGATCAGGAGTTCTCCTGGCTTTTTGTACGACCCTCGCGCATCCTTTTCGCTCGGAAGGAGGGGTGGAACATGCCAGGCTACCCTCGGTGGGCGCGAGCGGTGACATTTCCGGTGAGCTTTTATCGGGTAAGTCCGAGTGGAGGCCCGTGCCCCATTTGATAGGGGTCAGCTAGTGGTCCAGAGACGCGCTCCAAAAAAGTACCAGAAGGCTTCTCTAGCGGGCGCCAGGGCCGTTCGATTGGCCCTAGGGGCTCGGTGCCTCCCTACGGTGGGATCCCCTTTAGAGAACTCCTGCTGGTCTCGGACACGACTTAGGGCATCCCAAGCAATCGCTTGCCTGGGCCTCGGCCATGTGCGGGCTTGCCCATAGTTGTCCCTGACTCTATCGTCCTGAGGCGGCTGTCGAGACCATAATGGCCCAGCCTTCGAACCTCTGGACCGTAATGGGCTTGGTGCCCTTTTTCGTCGCGTTTTTCCGACCCTCGGGTGTGAGAGGTTGCAGGAAGGGCCCCCGAGCCTCCGCGCGGGGCGAGAGGGCGATTAGGAGTTCCCCTGGCTTTTTGTGCGACCCTCGCGCATCCTTTTCGCTCGGAAGGAGGGGTTGTTTGCCGAGCCCTTCGCGCGAGAGCCTAGGCCGCTGGGTCTCGGCAAGGTTGCAGGAAGAGCCCCCGAGCCTCCGCCCATAGCGAGAGGGCGATCAGGAGTTCCACTGGCTTTTTGTGCGACCCTCGCGCATCCTTTTCGCTCAGAAGGAGGGGTTGTTTGCCGAGCCCTTCGTGTACGAGCCTAGGCCGCTGGGTCTCGGCAAGGTTGTAGGAAGAGCCCCCGAGCCTCCGCACGTAGCGAGAGGGCGATCAAGAGTTCCCCTGGCTTTTTGTGCAACCCTCGCGCATCCTTTTCGTTCGGAAGGAGGGGTTGTTTGCCGAGCCCTTCGCGTGCGATCCTAGG